TTTGAATGCCATTTCATTGGCGTACATTAAGCTTAGTGTTAACGAACGTGCGTAAGATATTGCTCTGAAATTTGAATGCGAGTATTTTGATTGAATAATGGGGTTAAAGCAAATTGATTTTGTATTCAATTTCATTTATAAAGTACATCAACTTTGCAATATTAACTAAGTCTACAGATAGTTCAATTTATATACGTTTTCGTTTTTCAGAGCATTTCAATGTTAAAGCGGTAGTGGCCAGTAACGCGCTACAGCGACGAGGTTAACGTAACGAAAATTATAAAAGCCAGCGCGTTTAAATGACATTTAAGAGCACGCTTCCTGGCACGAGGCAGCTATTTACTGTATGGGCAATGCATGAGTAACTGCAATGCATTAAGTTTAGAACAAATGATGACATTAAGCTTAACCGCCAGCATATCTCCACCCACGACTTCCTCCGTGGCTATAAAAACATGCATCTGAAGGGCATTTATCAGTCGTTTAAATATGTGGAGGTTGATCAATATTTCTTAAAACGTAGTAAAAATTAAATAAAATGAACGTAAGATCTCTAAAAAAAGCTATGGCTCATGGGTTATCTAACAGGTTAATGAACGCCTTATGAAACTTTTCTAAAAAGGCAACGTATACCTACCAGTTGCAATTCAAATACTTATTACGCGTGAAGCCTCAAACAGATTACCCGAATTTAACATAATTTACCCAACTTTCATAGTTATTTGTCGCTGAAACCAATACAAAAAAAAAAAACAAATACCTTCCCCAAAAAATTAAAAGGAATTTTATTGTTATCTGTCGTCGAAATCAATACCAAAAAACCAAATCACCCCCAAAAAATAGAAGGTAAAATTCTCATTTATTGAATTCCTTCCCTCAAAAATTAAAAAGTAAAACCTTCTCATTTATTGACATGATGTAGCACCGTGTCACCACCCACGCACGATGACGAGCGTGACTCACGCTCAAGTCGAAGCTCCTTATACATAAAGTGTGTCTCGCATGCCCAAGTCTGGTCGCAAAGAAGACATTTACATTCTTTACACGTTAATTGCGCTCTCGAAGCGCTGACTTATAAGAGTTTATAAAGAGATTGACATTAGTTTCACGCAAAGTTAATGTTTTCAGTTCGTGTACCACAATGACGCTGTGGCTATATTTAGGTAATATATTAATGAATGCTATAAGTAATGAGCGACCTCTTCTTAATGAACACAACAGAAATTTTACTATGATATTTACCTACATTCCTCCAAATACGCACGCGATAATGGAACGAAATCACACGAATAAATGTTACGGATCATTAAAAATTAAAAAATCAGTTCATCAGGAAAATAATACGTTAGTGTGGATGCAATTACACGTTAAGAATAAATATAATAATACGTTCATGAGTAGGCACTAATACGCTACAGAGTAGGCGATAATACGCTAAAGAGTAGGCAATGGTACATTAAAAAGAAAGAAAAATGCTTATGAGAGGGCATAAAAGAGGCATCAGTGCGTTACAGAGGGAGCATCAGTGCGTTACAGAGGGAGCATCAGTGCGTTACAGAGGGAGCATCAGTGCGTTACTGAGGGAGCATCAGTGCGTTACTGAGGGAGCATCAGTGCGTTACTGAGGGAGCATCAGGGAGCATTAATACGTTGCATGGCAGGCATTAATACGTTGCAGGGCAGGCATTAATACGTTGCAGGGCAGGCATTAGTACGTTGCAGGGCAGGCATTAATACGTTGCAGGGCAGGCATTAATACTTTGCAGGGCAGGCATTAATACGTTGCAGGGCAGGCATTAATACGTTGCAGGGCAGGCATTAATACGTTGATAGGCAGTAATACGTACAAGAGTAGGCAGTAATACGTACAAGAGTAGGCAGTAATACGTACAAGATTTGGCAGTAATACGTACAAGAGTAGGCAGTAATACGTACAAGAGTAGGCGGTAATACGTACAAGAGTAGGCAGTAATACGTACATGAGTAGGCAGTAATACGTACAAGAGTAGGCAGTAATACGTACAAGAGTAGGCGGTAATACGTACAAGAGTAGGCAGTAATATGTACAAGAGTAGGCAGTAATACGTACAAGAGTAGGCAGTAATACATACAAGAGTAGGCAGTAATACGTACAAGAGTAGGCGGTAATACGTACAAGAGTAGGCAGTAATACGTACAATAGTAGGCAGTAATACGTACATGAGTAGGCAGTGATACGTTCAATAATAGGCAGTAATACGCAAAATAGCCGGCGATAATACGCTAAAAAGTAAGCAATAGTACATAAAGCCCCATGAGAGGACATTAAAGAGGCAGTAATGCATCACTGAGGAGGCATTGATAAGTTGCATAGCAAAATTTGATACGATGCAGGGCAGACATCAATACGTTGCAGGGCAGACATTAATACGTTGCAGGGCAGACATTAATACGTTGCATGGCAGACCTTATGACCTTATGATGAGTTCGGGACTTCCTAGTCCCGTGGTCACGCTGATGCGCCGCCTTCGTCGTCCTCCGTCTCCGAGTCGTCGTCGGATGTAACGTTGGACGTGTTCCGTCTATTTGCTTTCCTTTGGGCCACTTGATGCAAGATGCTGTTGTTTGTCACTTGCTGTTGGTAGTTTCCAATTACTGGACAATCCGGGATCTTTCTCAACCTAATACGTTGTTGATAGAGAAATTGATACGTTTGCGGAGAAGTGATACGTTGCAGAGCAGTGATACGTTGCAGAGCAGACCATAATACGTTGCAGTTCTAACAGACATTAATACGTTGCAGGGCAGGCATTAATACGTTGCAGGACAGGCATTAATACGTTGCAGGAGAGCTTTTTGCCGAACTATGCAATATCGCACACGGCGGAGTTATTTGACCCGAGCGCACTCACGGAGCGGTCGCTGCATCAATCAAGCTTGTAATAGAGGTTCAGCCCACCGTAAATACTTGCTTCGCTGCCTTAAGAAGAAGAAGAAGCTTCGACGAAATTGGTGTCATTGCAGCAAAACACTCATTCACGACGATGCTTTTACGCAGTTCTACTCATTGCTAGACTTGGATCGTGCTGCGTGCAATATCTGTGACGATGTGGCTTGTGGGTTTGCATCGTTAAAAGCTTGCTTCATCTAAAAGAGATTGCTATCAGAATAAGAGATCGACTTGAGAAGATTGAGACCATTGCCAAAGACGAGTATATCAAGGGTAGAAAATTAAAAGTCTCAGAGAAATACGTGTATACATGGGTAGGCAAGTTATGTATCGCAACCACCATCTCAGTCTGACGATTGGAGAACATTTTGATTGAAAGCGTAATAACAGTTTTTCCGTAGGATGATTGTAAGTATTATATAATAATATTTAATACAGCGGCGTAGCAAATTTGCATGTTGCTGATTCTAGGTATCACAGAATTTTCACAGCTAGCTGTTTTCGAACCCGTAATTCACTGTCCTATCTTGCTCTTCTCAAGCAACCGGCTACTTGGTCGAGCGGAGATATCGGGAAGTTAAAAATGGTAACATTGTATTAATAGGAGGTTGGAATAGAAATCACAAAAACTGATTATCGATAGTGAATTCAAATCGCAAATCCACTATCGTGACGATATTGTATTTGCGTCAATATCATCATTTCAGTTAATCGTAAGAAGAATATTTGGATCCAAGACGTACGTATTGACAAATAAAACAGAAACCTTTTAATCTACACGTGGAAAATAAGATATTATTTTCTCGATGCTGTTATTTCGATGGGGGATGGCGGTTTGGCTGCATTGTCGCAGTAGGATTCTACAAACAAAGGCGAGCAGCATAACAATTTAACAGAAGTATCCGAGATAAGTATTTTATCTCTGGAAAGGTTTGTGCTCTAGTACTAATAATTTTTGATTTGTAGTGAGGATAGCGAGAATGGAAACTAACAAAGAATGCTGGATCATTGGATACTGCATTGGCTTAGAAGATACTGATATCTTTTAATTTACAAAAAATACCGAATTTTTTTTCTTTCGAATTTACAAAAAATACTGAATTTCAATTGAAGAAATTTTTATTAACACACCAACGTCGTTAATTTAATTTGCATTTTCTAGCCTCCATCAGCATTAGTTTAGTTGCTGTAGCTACATCAAATTACTACTTAGCGATCATATTGGGAAGGTTAATTATGTAATACCCATGTGAATACACTCTAAATTACATCCCCATAAAATTCCCTATAGTTTTCCAAGTCGAAAATGAATTTTATGAATGAAAAGAGTTCGTAAAATGAACAACATGCGCATTAATTCAGAATGCAGCCACCCTGGGCACTGGGCTCCCACTGAAGCGTCTGAGCAATGTGCGACTCTGGCCGTTTGTTCAAATCGTTCAGCGTTGGTCTTATCGTAACGAAATACGGCTTGTGCGTCAAACTGACCACGACAAATGGGCTTTATTATCAAGACAAATTGAGACAAACGTTTCGGCTTGTCCAGATTTCGGCTCAGGTTAAGGAATACCCCGTTGATCGCGCGCTCACGGCGATAGTGTCTTGGTACTTCGCCGGTCTCTGATTTATAAATGCCTTAATTATAATTTTCCACTTACTTTCAATATTACGCGGCGCCAGCACCCCTCATTGGACGAAATGTGCGTGACGACACGCTCACAACGTGTTGAAATACCCGGCCTCCTATTGGCTGATTCTAAGCTTGAACCTGACGCTCATTGGTCGTGACTGACGTCACGCGAAGAGCGGGAGAACCTCACGTTCCACAATGTAAAGCTCTCAAAAAGCATTCTTAAACTCGTGAATTATTTTCAAAATTCGAGAAAAATTTCCGCCATATTGTGCACATGAAACTTGGAATTCCATTGAAATAATGTACCAGGTTGAGACCCCTGAATAGACATCGTTTAGTGACAGGGCCAGCGGAGGTGTGCCAGAAAGCAGTGTTCGCTCCAGCGAAGAAGGCATGCATAAAACTCAGCTAAGGACAGACCAAGAAGGTGGAGGAGGAGGGCGTATGGCACGAAGAGTCTCGCTCATGATCATCTTATACCCACTGGGAGTCTTGCCCAGAAATCCTGCACTGCACAACAATAAAGGAGGCTCTCTCTCTCTCTCTGTGTTCGATGCCCGGCGCGCGTGGCTAGCTGGAGATGAGACATCGTGAACTCAGCGTGTTCTTTTGCACGGTAAAACCGAATGAATTGACGCTTGAAAATGGAACTCGCACGTGAAAATGGTGTATAAAATGGGACATAATTGCTGCATATAAGACACTCTTAGTTCCTCATGTGATTTTTAATGGTGAAAAAAAGGAATTGACGCTTGAAATTGAAACGCGCGTGAAAATGGTGTTTAGAACGGGACATCTTGTACGTTAACGTAAAAACAGTGGCTCTATACATGCTAAGTTATAAAATCGAAAAAATTGACGCTTGAAATTAGAAGTTGTGCGTGAAAATGGTGGTTAGAAGGTGACATTTTGTACGTTAACTTGAAAACGTTTGCTCTTTAAATATCAAGTAATAAAACATTGAACGTTGCTGCTGACACGTTAGTGCCAACAGTTAAGTTTCCAGCAAGATTCTATGAATAGATAATTTTTATTCTCTATGTGAAGAATGAGAAAATTTATCCTTAAGAGAAGATTGAGACTGAATCTGAGATTTGAGTGACGCTTCTGTTAACAAAAACTGATATTTTCAACCAAAGGATGGCAAGGGGGAGAAAATTAACAAGTTTTGCTCAAATTAATGATTGTTGAAACGAGTTGGCGTATAGAGTGTTCAGAAAAAGTCTTATTTTTGAATTATACATTATTAATTGACATTGACATACATCAGAGACGGGAGAATTTTGTCCATATTGATCTAATTATCTGTGGCAAAGCGTTCGTTAGAATTTCAGTTCGTTTATTACCTCATCAATGAAGCGAGAAAGTGCAGACAAAAACCTTCATATTATTTACAAGTCTATTTTTAAATTTACCGGCGGGCGTTATCAATTCCGTGATTGAGAAATCTGTTAACGGGAAAAAATTGTTATTTGCCAACAACGAGTGGCACAAAAAAAAAACCAGACTCATTTCAGCAAATAAAATTAGTTCGTCGGTCTGAAGGAAGCTGCTCTCTCATGGCCTTACCATTGATGACAGTGAGCGTCCACAAGGATGAGGTGTGTATATAAGTTATAATTAATTAGTAAAACTTAACATCTTGGAAAAAATATCTGTCCAAATCAACTGAACCACTTGTCACTTGCCATTATTTCATGAAGATCAAAATTGAGAGATGAAATATTTCTGTTTAATTAAACTCATAACAAAGTTAGCCTGAATTTAAACAAACATAAATGTACATTTCGAGATGCGTTATATTAATGGCCTTCTGTGTATAATTATATATAAAAAATCATTCGTAAAATTCCTAAAGAGTGATAATGAAGCCATGCAAATTACTAAAATTATCAAAAAATTTTTTCGATTTGAACTATATCATTTCAGTTTTGTCTTTGTAAAAACATTCTTAATACGCCTAATTGAGTTCAAATTTAAATTTACTGAGCACATTTTTAATTTTATCAATTATGGCGTAACTTAACTAATATCCATGCAACTATCCTTAATTACTAGTGCTGGATTCTTTTTAAGTTGTTTGTCTGTTCCTGCCCTTCAGGAGATTTCTAGGCATGCATTGCCTTTAAGGCACACTATATATGTTGCTTCGTCAATAGAAAATAATCATGTAAGTGCATTACGACGATTTTTTCGACTGATAATGGTTTAACAACTAATTTCACTAAATTACATTTGCCGAACTAAAAATCCTCGGGCAAAGTTGCCCGGAAACTCAGTCCGGCGCCGGCGACTCCGCGCATAACTAGCGACGGAAATTTTGCTCGTTATGCAAAGTTCGGATGACGTGACACGATCGGTGCTACACGACAACTTGAAGCCGTTACTGTTATATTGACTCCACATTCCTCGTACGAATAACATTGTGAAGATGACGAAGAATATGTAACTGAGAGGCGGTAAAGGCTGCACAGCGTGAGTCGCTGTCATGTAGCATGACACGCAATTGTTCTTGCATGTTTGTGGCGAGAAAATGAGGCTTTCCGCCATGTTCGGGTCAATTTATTGTGATCGATGCATGACGGTGCGAAATATTCTTGGGTTGTTCCAGTGCGGTCATGCCAACTGATCGAGATGGCACACGTACGACGACTTCAGGCATACATTTTTCAGCCTAGAAATGCAATAATTTTTGGTAAACCAAAAAGTTAACTGCTAATACAAATTTGCTTGTAAAATTAATAGAGTTGAGGTCGTTCTCGCTCTAGGAAGTCATCAATGCAACAATTAAATATATTAGAGGAATATTACCAGGTTTGGGTGGAAGGTAGAACGATGACGAACATCATTAATGTCTGGTAAATTTAAAAAAATTAATAATGGAAATTTTTCGACTAATATAGAAAAAATATAATTTTAATAGATAAAGTTATATCTTCGTTTTGATTGTGAAGGAAAACTTTTAGAAGTGCTAGCCTGTTTAACAAAATCGATTATTTCACTATAATCTTCTCGATTCAAAATAGAAAAAAAAATCTGTCGAGCTTGACCGACAGCTTCATGAATAGAATATCAAGAGAATCTAAAAAAATCTAAATTAATATACCGTAATGCAATCTCTAAGAAAACGCAAGAAAACTCTGGACACGACTCAACGGCTCGACAAAATAAAAATTCTCTCATACTGATATTTTAGCATCAAGAGTAAAAGAAAACTCAGGACAAGACTCGACAGTTCGACAAAGCAGATAATTTTTGCCTTGTCACCAACACCTGAGAACAACACGACAAAAGTAATCCTATTCACTCGTCATCGCTCATGAATGCACGAGTGGGCGACTAGAGCCGCTGCTCGTGCTTATAGTTTTAGGAGAGTCGTGATGAAGTCTTCTGTTTGTGCCCGATACTGAAGGAACATACGAGCATTTAGCTAAATTCTGACGCTAAACCTTTCTTGTTTCTTCAGCTTTTAATGCTCAGCAGGATAATCCCTACAAATGATTATTCTCAACCCCTATTAGTGTGTAAATTGAATAGATTTTTTAATCCCGACAATAAAGTGAGAGCATTTTTCAAAAATGATTCGACTTATGGACTCTGTTTTGATGCTAGGAAACTGCTTATACGTATTATTATAGCCTAAATTCAACTTATTATTTGGTAATGTTCCAATCATATACAAAAAAGACATTTTGTGGCTAAATCCGCAAAGATTAAATATAAATTCAATGTAGCTAACCTCAAAAAAACAGTGTCAGACCTCACTGATCTGCGTGGATCACTCTTTTGTCAGCATTGCAGTCGTCCGGTAAAGGCCTCTGTCTTCATGTTTTATAATTTATATGAAAATCGTAAGTTCTATTAATATCGTGATTTTGAGCTGACATTTGGTGTTGTTTGGTTCCGATATTTGATTGGCAGGGCCTAGTCGGTTGGTGACCGGAGGCAGGGCCTAAGGGGTGAAACAGCAATCATTGGGATTCGTCTAATAAAATACAATCGAAAAGAAAACTGGCTTTTGCATTTTTGAATCAAGCATAACCAGCCTCATGATGAGCGAAAGTTCACGTCAGTAACATATTCAAACACAACCTTCGGTCAGTTCCGACCAAGTGAACAGTCTACGACCAAACAGCAACGAATTGTATTCAGCCCCATAAATAAAATGTATATAACATTTGATGACGTAAAAAATTGAGAGGAAACTGCAGGCAGTAAAATAGAAAGTAGGAAGTAACGTAATGAAAGTTTTGAACACCAACTCGCATTAACGACAGCGACTGAGCACCAGGTTTTCATCCAGTTTTTCAAGTCCCTCTTCCCACCTCAGACTATAATTCCTTAACCTCGGAAAATTTAATTTTGCTCCGGCAACGCGAGTGAAAACTTTTTATTCCCATGTCTTTGTATCGTCGTTCAGTTCCCAGCCGTTAATCTTGCGTAATGATACGAGCAAAATTTAGGAGCATTTCAGGATGGCAGCAAAACTGAGGTTAGGACGCGTTCACAGGCACTGCTGCTGTGGCGGAGGGTGACTATAACAGCAACAAAGTCTAGCTGATCTACAAGCAGCAAGTAGGAAATGAGAGATTAAAGTTGCAAGCTTACGCTGTGAATAACTGAATTATTTCAATAATACTATCTTATGAAATGAGGCTATTATAATTCACAAATGAATATATATAGGAAATGATACATTAGCAGACTCAAACAGGCGTTCATAGCACATGCTTCATGACGGCAAATTCTTCAACAGAGGATCTTGAATTTCGACGCAGTTTTAAATTCACGAGCTGAAAATATATATTCCATTTATTAATTTAATACTAATGACAGAAAAAAATGAAATGAAAAAATGAACAGAAATTGATTAGGAAAGAAACAAGGAGATCGTGATCGTTTTCAGATTAACTTTAAACAAGACAAATCACCCAATTAGCGTAACATTGTTCTCGAAATATTGCCGAGTAATTATCATGTTAATTGCTAGTTAAATGTTCACGACGCCACGATTATCACAAATGTTTCAATTCAGGTAACGTGTCCGCCAATCAGCTCTGAGTACCGGCAATGTCATTCGCATTTTGTGCAGCAAATCGGGCAAGTTGCCGAACAAATGCGCATAGGTTAGGTTAGGCATGGTTGAACTAGTAGTATATAGTTCAACCATGAGGTTAGGTTAGCTAACCTAAGATTCGACGGCAGCGGAAAGCTCCATCCGCGTTAAAAAATTTCGTTTATTCTAAAGAGGAACGCATTGTTTAGAGAATCCATGCAGACTCAAACAGGCGTTCATAGCACATGCTTCATGACGGCAAATTCTTCAACAGAGGATCTTGAATTTCGACGCAGTTTTAAATTCACGAGCTTACGCTGTGAATAACTGAATTATTTCAATAATATTAACTTATGAAATGAGTCTATTATAATTCACAAATGAATATATATAGGAAATGATACATTAGCAGACTCAAACAGGCGTTCATAGCACATGCTTCATGACGGCAAATTCTTCAACAGAGGATCTTGATTTCGACGCAGTTTTAAATTCACGAGCTGAAAATATATATTCCATTTATTAATTTAATACTAATGACAGAAAAAAATGAAATGAAAAAATGAACAGAAATTGATTAGGAAAGAAACAAGGAGATCGTGATCGTTTTCAGATTAACTTTAAACAAGACAAATCACCCAATTAGCGTAACATTGTTCTCGAAATATTGCCGAGTAATTATCATGTTAATTGCTAGTTAAATGTTCACGAAGCCACGATTATCACGAATGCTTCAATTCAGGTAACGTGTCCGCCAATCAGCTCTGAGTACCGGCAATGTCATTCGCATTTTGTGCAGCAAATCGGGCAAGTTGCCGAACAAATGCGCATAGGTTAGGTTAGGCATGGTTGAACTAGTAGTATATAGTTCAACCATGAGGTTAGGTTAGCTAACCTAAGATTCGACGGCAGCGGAAAGCTCCATCCGCGTTAAAAAATTTCGTTTATTCTAAAGAGGAACGCATTGTTTAGAGAATCCAAGAGCAGTTTTAAATATTTCTATTCACAATAAAGTCAATTACGCTGAAAACAATAGACTCGATTGGCTAAGATGTCAATAGTTAATTGTTGAAGCAATACCAACACAAATATTCGCAATCTCAATTGGATTGGTCAATGCATAGTTTACCAAACGAAAAAAATTGTTTGGAGCGAAGCTTTCGAGTCTCATTCGCTTTAAAAAGAAGGACAAGAGATTTTTATTTTCTGGCATTTAACGGATTCAGCATAGAAGCACACATAAACAATAAAAGTAAAAAGTAATTTAAATTTTCACGAAAGAACTGCGGTAAATAATGAATTTCACAGTAAGAAACATTCAAAGACACTAGGCAACTCGAATTTCTTGTCTCACCTGAATCGGATGATGAGGAACACCCAGAGATCGAGGCGCTGCCTTGTCTCAGAGCTGTCTTCTCTAATTCCAAGATATGAACAAATATAGAAGCAATAAAAATATTTGTGGATATCCGAGATGATGATAGATTCTCGTAGAAATGATTTCTATATTTTAGTAGAGCAAAGCTTCTTTCCCTATCGAAAAAA